TCAACGAATGAAAACTTCATTACTATTTAGATCAAGGCAAGTATGGGTGGAGCTTAATCTTTGGCTTTTTTTCTTACTATACATGGTATTCTTTGAACAACACAATACTCAAAAACATTTTTTGAATTTTTCGTGAAGAAATAAGGATTTTGCAGTTAAGCTCCGCCTTCTTGGCTCACAACGAATAAAAAAAAAATCATCAGAATTGAGATAGGGCGGGTGGGCGGGGTTTATATTTTGCCTTTTTTTTTTCTTAATGTACATAGCCATCTTTTCACAACAGAAACTTAGAACATGGTTAAAATGGTACATTTTTACAAAAAAAAATGGATTTTGCAGTTATGGGGCGGAGCCTAATTGCAAAATCGGTATTTCCTTATATTTCCATTTTAAACATCAAAACAAAAACAAAATATAAGCCCCGCCCACCCGCCCTATCTCAATTGTGAGGTTTTTCTTATTCTTAGAAACTTAAAACATGTTTAAAATGGTACACTATTGTAAGGAAATATGCATTTTGCAATTAGGCTCCGCCCCTAGGTTTGCCAACGAATGAAAAGTTCGTTACTATTTAGATCATGGCAGGTATGGGTGAGGCTTAATCTTAGGCTTTAATTTTTTCTTAATATACATAGTATTGTTTGAATAACATGATACTCAAACAAATATGTTACATGGTAATTTCTTGTAGAAAAATAATAAGAATTTTGCATTTACATTCTAAAAACGAAATTTCAACGATTAAAAAAAAATCATCACAATCGAGATAGGGTGGGTGGGTGGGGCTTATATTTTGCCCTTTTTTTCTTAACATACATAGCCATCTTTTCACAACAAGAAACTTAAAACATGTTTAAAATGGTAACTCCTTGTAGACAAATATGGATCTTGCAATTAAGCCCCGCCTCTCGATCTGACAACGAATGAAAAATTCATCAGAGTTGAGAATTGTGATCGAGGAGGATATGGGTAAGGCCTAATCTTTAGTTTTATTTTTTTCTTACTATACATGGTATTCTTTGAAAGATACGATACTCAAAAACATGTTCTTAATTTCTTGTGAAGAAATAAGGATTCTGCAGTTAAGCTCCGCCTTCTTGGCTCACGACGAATAAAAAAATCATCAGAATTGAGAGGGGGTGGGTGGGCGGGGCTTATATTTTGCCTCTTTTTTCTTTATGTACATAGCCATGTTTTCACAATAAGAAACTTAGCATGGTAAAAATGGTACATTTTTACAAAATCCGTATTTCCCCATACAAATTTTCCATTTTAAACATGTTTTAAGTTTCATGTTGTGAAAAGAAGTCTACACATATTAGAACAAAAACGAAAAATGTAGGCCCGCCCACCCGCCCTATTTCAATTGTGATGATTTTTTTTATTCGCCGTGAACCAAGAGGGCGGAGCTCAACTGCAAAATAATTGTTTCTTTACAAGTAATTAAAAACATGTTTTTCTATATCGTGCTGTTCAAAGAATACTAAGTATATTAAGAAAAAAAGGCAAAATATAAACCCCGCCCACCCACCCCATCTCAATTGTGATGATTTTTTTTATTCTTATCAACTTAAACACATTTAAAATTATTACTTTTGTTAGGAAATATGGATTTTGTAATTAGGCTCCGCCCCTAGGTCTGGCAACAAAAGCAATCTTTATTACTATTTAGGTCAGATCAGGTATGGGTGGGGTTTAATTTTTTATTAATATACATAGTATTCTTTGAATAACACGATACTTAATTTTAAATTCTAAAAAAAAAATCTCGACAATAAAAAAAAATCATCACAATCGAGATAGGGTGGGTGGGCGGGGCATGTATTTCGTCCTTCTTTTCTTAATATACATAGCCATCTTTTCATAACAAGAAACTTAAAACATGTTTAAAATGGTAACTTCTTGTAGACGAATATGGATTTTGCAATTAAGCTCCACCTCTTGATCTGACAACGAATAAAAAAATTCATCACAATCGAGAATTGTGATTGGGGCGGATATGGGTGGGGCCTAATCTGGCTTTATTTGTTTCTTACTATACACATTATTCTTTGAACAACACGATACTCAAAAATATGTTTTTAATTTCTCGTGAAGAAATAAGGATTTTGCAGTTAAGCTCCGCCTTCTTGGCTCACGACGCATAAAAAAAATCACCAGAATAGAGATAGGATGGGTGGGCGGGGCTTATATTTTGCCTTTTTTTTCTTAATGTACATAGCCATCTTTTCATAACAAGAAACTTAGAACATTGGTAAAATGGTACATTTTTATCAAATCCGTATTTCCTCATACAAAGCTTCCATTTTACACATCTTTTAAATTTCATGTTGTGAAAAGAAGTCTACACATATTAAAACAAGAAGGCAAAATATAAACCTGCCCACCCGCCCTATCTCAATTGTGATGATTTTTTTTTATTCGCCGTGAACCAAGAGGGCGGAGCTTAGCTGCAAAATACTTGTTTCTGTACAAATAATTAAAAACATGTTTTTCAGTATCGTGTTAGAAAAATATAAACCCCGCCCACCCACCCCCTCTCAGTTGTAATGATTTTTCTATTCTAAGAAACTTAAAACACGTTTAAAAAGGTAAATTTTTATAAAGAAATCAGGATTTTGCAATTAGGCTCCGCCTCTAGCTCTCTCAACGAATGAAAACTTCATTATTATTTAGGACAAGGCAAGTATGGGTGGAGTTTAATCTTTGGCTTTTTTTCTTAATACACATGGTAATTTCTTGTAGAGAAATAATAAGAATTTTGCATTTAAGTTGTAAAAAAAAAATCTCGACGATTAAAAAAAATCATCACAATCGGGATAGGGCGGGTGGGCGGGCTTACATTTTGCCTTTTTTTTTCTTAATATACATAGCCATCTTTTCATAACATGAAACTTAAAATATGTTTAAAATGGTAAATTCTTGTAGACAACTATCGATCTTGCAATTAAGCCCCGCCCTCAATCTGACAACGAATGAAAAATTCGTAACAACTGAGAATTGTGATGGAGGCGAATATGGGTGGAGCCTAATCTTTAGTTTTATTTTTTTTTTTTACTATACATGGTATTCTTTGAACAACACGATACTCAAAAACATGTTTTTAATTTCTCGTAAAGGAATAAGGATTTTGCAGTTAAGCTCCGCCTTCTTGGCTCACGACGAATAAAAAAAGTCATCGGAATTGAGATAGGGCGGGTGGGCGGGGCTTATATTTTGCCTTGTTTTCTTAATGTACACAGCCATCTTTTTACAAGGAGAAACTTAGAACATGGTTACAATGGTACATTTTTACAAAATCCGTATTTCCTCATACAAGTTTTCCATTTCAAACATGTTTTAGTTTCATGTTGTGAAAAGAAGTCTACACATATTAAAACAAAAAGGAAAAAAGTAAGCCCGCCCACCCGCCCTGTCGCAATTGTGATGATTTTTTTATTCGGCGTGAGCCAAGAGGGCGGAGCTTAACTGCAAAATACTTGTTTCTTTACGAGTAATTAAAAACATGTTTTTCAGTAGCGTGCTGTTCAAAGAATAATATATATATTAAGAAAAAAAGGCAAAATGTAAACCCCGCCCACCCACCCAGTCTCAATTGTGATGATTTTTTTATTCTTAGAAACTTAAAAACATCTCTGTAAGGAAATATGGATTTTGCAATTAAGCTCCTCCCCTAGGTCTGCCAACGAATGAAATCTTCATGGCTATTTAGATCAGGGCAGGTATAGGTGGAGCTTAATCTTTGGCTTTAATTTTTTCTTAATCTACATAGTTTTCTTTGAATAACACGATACTCAATTTTAAATTCTAAAAAAAAATCTCGACGAATAACAAAAAAATCATCACAATCGCGATAGGGTGGGTGGGCGGGGCTTATATTTCGTCTTCTTTTTCTTAATATCCATAGCCATCTTTTCGTAACAAAAAACTTAAAACATGTTTAAAATAGTCAATTCTTGTAGAGAAATATGGATTTTGCAATTAAGCGCCTCCCTCGATCTGATAACGAATGAAAAATTACAAAGAAAACAAAATTCTGCAGTTAAACTCCGCCTTCTTCGCTCACGATGAATAAAAAAATCATCACAATTGAGACAGGGTGGGTGGGCGGGGCTACATTTTGATGTTTTTCTAGATTAATAGATTCTCCACAACTTTAGGATAATCACATACATTTTAGTCATTCACATTCTGTAGAAAGTAAAAGATTCTCTTACTAATAATTTTGATAAAATTATCACCATAGAAATGTGACCTGACCGAACTTGACCTGACCCGCCATGACCTGACAACCATCAGGTCATTGATGGTTGTACTGTGTAAATTCTTTAGACCGATTTTTATTCAAATATCGTAGCTAATAATGTTGAGTTCCCCATGGCACTATTTTGGGTCCCATCTTATTTAATTATACATGAAAGATATAGATAAAATAAAAGAAAATTTAAGTCTGACGACACTTTGCAATGATAATGGCAAACAATAAAATAAATAAAATTTTGCAAAATAAAATGTTATAGTTACGGCTATGTTCATCGTCTGGCAACTGTTAACCTGCAACTTTATAATTTCCTAGACAGCAAAACTACTTTTTGTCTTCGTTTCTGTACCGTTTAGTGTCAAATCAAGTTACAAAATGCTTTCAAGAGCCCGTAAAAACCCAGAACTCGCCAGAATTCCTCTCGGTTTTTATTTTTGCATCTATTTAGCTGACCGCAACGGCAAAATGAAGACATATAGCTGTCCAAATTGAAATATCCTTTCCTGCACACTTCCCTATTAATTTCGACCAATCTCCATCTGTCAATTTAGAATGATAAATGCGCACAAAAAGCGTCCATACATTTCCGCAAAGACAAAATCCATTATAATTCCTCCACATAACAAACCCGGGACTAAATCACGAAAAAACGGACAAGCGGCAATTAAGCCTCATGTCTGATTAGCATAATCGCATTAATTACTTAATCCCGCTTCGTGCAACTACTACCAACACTTACCCATTAAGTTTCGGTGTATTTAACGCTGGCACAAGGTAATTCCACAACAATCCATTCGCACAGCAATTAACCGACAAACAAAGCACAAATTGGCACCCGCGCAATCGACCAGAAAACGTATAAAACTCCACTTTGTTTTATCGGCGTTGTAAATGGGTTTATTGTTGCATTAAAAGAAAATTACGTCCACGGGCCGTCTAGACAAGTACGCCGCCACTGTTCTTTCATTCATGAGATCGAGGAACTTCTTGAGCAATTTGTTAGCTCGCCTTGACAGGTGGACCTAAAAAAGAAGTGGATCGTTCTTAATAAGCTGGAATTTGGAGGATCGGGATTCGTGCCATTGTTTTCGCAGGACTTCATCTTATCGATGCTCATTTATTTCAACTTGCAGAATTTACAAGCAAAAAATGTATACAAGTGCTTTAATATTTTTCAATTTATATATATGTGAAATCCGAAATGTAAAAAAATGTCGTTTTTTACCATCAAAATTGTGAATAAAAAATATGAGCTATTTTAGTGGTTTCAAAAATTTCGTACCTGTCAACCCCTACAACCATACCATCAGCACCATCCACAACCACATCACTGCCCAGACCTCACCAGCCGAGGTGTTAACACGAGTCACGTTGTCCGCAGAGGAACTTATGCCGGTGAAAGATCTCGCGGCGAGCGCGACGACAATCAGCTACCGACTGACTGAAAGAACAGTGGATGGCATACATCTTGCAGACAAGTGGGTCACTGGAAACTCTCTCCCAGACACCCTTTGTGCCGTATGCGACCATCTCGAGGTGATAACGAGCGACCAGAGATGGGCTCCGGGGCTTCCGGGCGGGACGCAGGGTTCCGCATTGGGCCCTTGGTTACTCTCGAGCATTCTATACGTGCGTGGAAGATTTCGGGATTCGTGGTGGTCGTGTGGGGTTCAGATTCTAGAAGCAGATATTGTCAGCACGTGACAGTGGTAGTTAATGAAGTGGAAAATTTAATTAGTGGGGTAATTAGCGGAGCTAACAAAAAGTTAATTGAAGAAATTGAATCGGTGAAAAGTGAAATCAGAGACATGGTGGTGTGAATTGGCATACTGAGAACGGCTAAAAGTGAAGAAAAACTGACTCCAAAAGAACTGGGGAAAAATTTTGATGCGTTGTTTCGTTGTTCAAAATGTAGTTCTTCTATGTGTTTTTTTGACTTTGGTACGAAATTTCTGTTTGTGTTCTTTGTCGCCCCTTGAACATCATCATACATATATTTTCCAAAAATTTTCCGAAGAATTTTCAAATCTGGTTCTACCCTATCCTCATTATCAATTTCTTCTACAACTACAAAACTGGAAACATATTTTCCAAAATTATCCGAAGAATGTTCAAATTTGGTCCTAGTTAACCAGATTGACACCGACATTCAAATAACAATCGGGGAAATATTTACCAACAATTTTCCGGAAAATCTTCAAATATGGCTCTAGTCGGCCGGAAAATGATGCTGTCGTAAAGACAATTTTCCACAGATTAGAAATCCCAAAGTCGCTAATGTCATCGATGCTTAAATATCCGGAAAAAACGAAGAAATATATGTTATAAATTTTCCGGAAAATCTATAAACGTGACTTTGCCTAGTTGACCAGAAAGCTCTGCTATCGTGAGAGAATTTTTCGTAGATTACCAATTGAATGTCAGTTTTGCTATAACTCTGAATTTTCGAAAAAAAACGATGACATATTTTCCAAAATTTTTCGAAGAATTTTCAAAACTGTTTCTAGTCGACCAGAAATGATTCTGTTGTATTTGTATAGAAAGAAAATTTTCCCCATGTTAAGAACCCCAAGTTGTTGACACAGATTTTCAAATAACCAATGGAGGAAATATCTTCCGACAATTTTAGGGAAAATCTTCAAATATGGCTAAAGATTTGTCATAAATTTTCCGGAAAATTATAAATGTCCCTTCAGTCGACCAGAAAGTTCTGTTATCGTAAGATAATTTTCCGTAAATTACCAATTGATCTTCGATTTATCGAAAAAAACGAGAACATTTTCAAAAATTTTCTGAAGAATTTTGAAATCTGGAATGATTTTGTTGTGTGGAAAGAAAATTTTCCGCATGTTAGGAATATCAAGTCGTTGCTGCTACAGATTTTCAAGAAAATCAAGGAAATTTTTGTTAAACATTGTCAGGAAAATCTACAATACTGTTTAGTCGACCGGAAAACTGTGAGAGAATTTTCCGTAGATTACGAATTTGATATCGTTGCTGTTAACAGTTCTCCAAGTTACCGAGAAAAATGAGGGAATTTTTTACGAATTTTCCGGAAAATCTTCAAATATGACACTAGTTGACCGAAAAATGATACTATCAGATGGAACATTTTTTACATGTTCAAAAAACCGAGAAAAATAAGTAAAGATCGTTCACTAATTTTCCAGAAAATTTTCATATACCGCTTTAGTCGGCGGGAAATTCTGCATTTTTGCCATAATTCTTCATCTTGTTTTCCAAGAATTTGCCTGAAAATCTTCAAATATGGCTCGAATTGACCTGAATCTGTTGTTTCTGTCATAGACCTTCAACCAACTGAGAAAATCGTGGAAATATTTATCAAATATTTTCCGGAAAAGTTACAAATATGGTTCTAGTCGACCGGAAAACTGTGAGAGAATTTTCCGTAGATTACGAATTTGATATCGTTGCTGTTAACAGTTCTCCAAGTTACCGAGAAAAATGAGGGATTTTTTTCACTAATTTTCCGGAAAATCTTCAAATATGACACTAGTTGACCAAAAAATGATACTATCAGATGGAACATTTTTTATATGTTCAAAAAACTGAGAAAAATGAGTAAATATCGTTCCCTAATTTTCCGGAAAATTTTCATATACCGCTTCAGTCGGCGGGAAATTCTGCAATTTTGCCATAATTCTTCATCTTGTTTTCCAAGAATTTTACTGAAAATCTTCAAATATGGCTCGAATTGACCTGAATCTGTTGTTTCTGTCATAGAGCTTCAACCAACTGAGAAAATCGTGGAAATATTTATCAAAAATTTTCCGGAAAAGTTACAAATATGGTTCCAGTCGGCCGGAAAACTGTGAGAGAATTTTCCGTAGATTACGAATTTGATATCGTTGCTGTTACAGTTCTCGAAGTTACCGAGAAAATTGAGGGAATTTGTTCGCGAATTTTCCGGAAAATCTTCAAATATGACAATAGTTGACCGACAAATGATACTATCAGATGGAAAATTTTTTACATGTTTAAAAAACCGAGAAAAATGAGTAAATATCGTTCACTAATTTTCCGGAAAATTTTCATATACCGCTTCAGTCGGCGGGAAATTCTACATTTTTGCCATAATTCTTCATCTTGTTTTCCAAGAATTTTACTGAAAATCTTCAAATATGGCTCGAATTGACCTGAATCTGTTGTTTCTGTCATAGAGCTTCAACCAACTGAGAAAATCGTGGAAATATTTATCAAAAACTTTACGGAAAAGTTACAAATATGGTTCTAGTCGACCGGAAAACTGTGAGAGAATTTTCCGTAAATTACGAATTTGATATCGTTGCTGTTACAGTTCTCGAAGTTACCGAGAAAATTGAGGGAATTTGTTCGCGAATTTTCCGGAAAATCTTCAAATATGACACTAGTTGACCGAAAAATGATACTATCAGATGGAACATTTTTTACATGTTCAAAAAACCGAGAAAAATAAGTAAAGATCGTTCACTAATTTTCCAGAAAATTTTCATATACCGGTTTAGTCGGCGGGAAATTTTGCATTTTTGCCATAATTCTTCATCTTGTTTTCCAAGAATTTTCCTGAAAATCTTCAAATATGGCTCGAATTGACCTGAATCTGTTGTTTCTGTCATAGACCTACAACCAACTGAGAAAATCGTGGAAATATTTATCAAACATTTTCCGAAAAATTTACAAATATGGTTCTAGTCGACCGGAAAACTGTGCCATCTTAAGCAAATTTTCCGTTGATTACGAATTTGAGGTCGTTGCTGCTACAACTCTTTAAATTACTGAGAAAAACGAGGAAATTTTTTACTAGAATTTTCCGAAAAATCTTCAAACATGACCCAAGTTGGCCGAAAAATGATGCGGTCGGATGAAAAATTTCCGTAAGTTAAAAATTCAAAGTTGCCATTACCATGTATTTTCAAATAACCGAGAAAAATAGGGAAATACTTAACACTAATTTTCCGGAAATGTTTCAAATACGGTTTTAGTTGACTGGAAATCTGTGTTGTTGTAGAGAAAATTTTCCATAAATAATGAATTTCATGTTATTTTTACTACAATAATTCCTCAAGTAGCAGAGAAAATAATTTTCAAAGAATTTTCCTGAAAATCTTCAAATAAGGTTCAAATTAACCGGAAAGAAAATTTTTCACACCAACTGAGAAAATCGTGGAAAAGTTTATCAAAGATTTTCCTAAAAATCCACAGATTTAGCTTTAGTCGACCGGAAAATTGTCCCATCGTATAAAAAATTTTCCTTATATTACAAATTTCATGTCGTTCCTGCAATAGCTTCTCAAATTACCAAGAAAAACGAGAAAAATGTTTCCAAGAATTTTCCTCAAAATTATCAAATGTGACTCCAGTTGACCGAAAAATGATGCAGTTAGATGGAAAATTTTCCTCAAGTTAAAAATTTCAGGTTGTCATTACCATGAAGTTTCAATTAATTGAGAAAAATGAGGAAAATAATTTTCCGGAAATTTTTGAGATACGTTAGTTGACTGGAAATCTGTGTTGTTGTAGAGAAAATGTTCCATACATAATGAATTCCATGTCATTTTTACTACAATTCCTCAAGTAGTAGAGAAAATAATTTTCAAAGAATTTTCCTGAAAATCTTCAAAAATGGCTCAAGTTGACCGGAAAGAAAATTTTTCACACGTTAAGATTTGTGTTCTCTATTACAGATCTTCAACCAGCTGAGAAAATCGTGGAAAAGTTTATAAAAATTTTCCTGAAAATCCACAGATTTAGCTTTAGTCGACCGGAAAATTGTCCCATCGTATAAAAAATTTTCCTTAGATTACGAATTTCATGTCGTTCCTGCAATAGCTTCTCAAATTACCAAGAAAAACGAGAGAAATGTTTCCAAGAATTTTCCTCAAAATTATCAAATATGACTCCAGTTGACCGAAAAATGATGCAGTTAGATGGAAAATTTTCCTCAAGTTAAAAATTTCAGGTTGTCGTTACCATGTATTTTCAAATAATCGAGGAAAATGAGGAAAATAATTTTCCGGAAATTTTTCAAATACGGTTTTAGTTTATTGGAAATCTGTGCTGTTGTAGAGAAAATTTTCGATAAATAATGACTTGCGTATCATTTTTGCAACAATTTCTCAAATAGTAGAAAAAAAACAGGAAATAATTTTGAAAGAATTTTCCTGAAAATCGTCAAAAATGGCTTAAGTCGACCCGGAAAGAAAATTTTTCGCACTTTAAGATTCTGTGATCTCTATCATAGATCTTCAACCAGCTGAGAAAATTATGAACAATTTTCCGGAAAAACTACAAATATGACTTTAGTCGACTGGAAAACTATGCCATCGCATAAAATATTTTCCGTAGATTACCAATTTTATGTTGTTGCTGCTACAACTTTTCAAACTACCAAAAAGAAAAACGAGGAAATTATTTCCAAGAATTTTCCG